ATGAACCCGAGTTTGGATCAGTTGTGGATGTCCGCAGTAGGTAGCATGAATTTTACTTAATTCCCCTAAATTGATGTTAGTCACTGATTTTTTTTTTTCTTATACCTGTTCTTAGTTTAGTGAAGGATCATATTTTGGGTATTGTTCTCATGAGAATCAGCAAGATAGTGTTTGAGAGGATTGTCTTTGGAACCCAACTACTTGGCATAAAATTCTGGCTCTGCTATTACTAGCTCAGTTATCTTGGGTAAGTTACTTAAGCTCTTTTTCCCTCACTTTCCTCATCTGTAAAGTGGGGATAATAATAGTACCAAGCTCATCATGGTATTGTAAGGATGAAATAAACATAATCAAAATGAAACCATAAGAATTCTAGAAGAAAATGTGGGAAAAACTCTTCTAAGATATTGGCCTAGGCAAAAAAATCATGAAGCAAAGGAAATTACAGCAACAACAAAAATAAATAAATGGGGCTTGATTAAATTCAAAAGCTTCCGTACAACCAAGGAAATAAGAGAGCAAATAGACAACCAAAAAATGGGAGAAAATATTTGCCTGCTATACATTCAATAGAGGACTAATAATCAGAATCTACAAAGAACTCAAGCAAATTACCAAGAAAAAAACCAAATGACCCCATTAGAAAGAAGGCAAAAGACATGAACAGAAGCTTTTCAAAATAAGATAGACAAATGGCCAATAAACACGTAAAAAAATGCTCAACATCACTAATCATCAGGGAAATGCAAATTAAAGCCATAATGATTTATCACCTTACTCCAGTCAGAATGGTCTTTATTAAAAAGTCTAAAAATAATAAATGCTGGCACAGATGTGAAGAGAAAGGAAAGTTCATACACTATTGGTGGGACTACACAGTAGTACAACTTCTATGAAAAACAGCATGGAGATTCCTCAAAGAAAGTTAACCTACCATTTTATCCAGTAATCTCACTACTGGGTATTTACCCAAAGGAAAAGAAGTCATTTTATCAAAAAGACATTTGCATTAGAATGTTTATAGCAGCACAATTCACAATTGCAAAGCTGTGGAATCAACTCAAGTGCCCATCAGTACATGAGTGGATTAACAAAATGTGGTTATATGTATACCATGGAATACAATACAGCGAATTGATGTCTTTTGCAGCAATTTTGATGGAACTGGAGACCATTATCCAAAGTGAAGTATCACAAGAATGGAAAAACAAACACCACATGCACTCACTGCTAAGTTGGAACTACCCGATGAGCACACACGTGCATGGAGGGAAGTAAAACTCAACAGAAATCAACCAGGGCGAGTGAGGAAGAGGGGATGGGCAAAAACCTACCTAACAGGTAGAGTGAACAATATCTGGGTAATTGGCACTCTTATAATCATGACTCAAGCATCATAAAAGTGATTCATGTAACCAGAATTACTTATACCCTATAATACATTGAAATAAAAAAAAAATTTTAAATGTGATGGTATGTTGTAAATAAAATATTAGCTGCTATTTTTATTTACAAAGCATACAGTCTAGTGCTGATGCTCTATGGTAGATACGTTTAATAATAATTACAATAAAAATAACAATTAACATTTTTAGAGAGTTTAATCCTTCTGGATTATCTGTCTTGTGTCCTCATTGACATTTAATTTTCCTCTAACACTCAAAACTGCCAGATGATGTAGGCACTCGAACAATCCTAATTTTGTAATATTACGCAACAAATTTATCAAACACAGTATATGCCAAGTGGTGTCCTAAAACTGGGAATGACAGGAAGAAACAAAAAGCCCTTGATTGCATGGAGCTTATGTTTGACGTTCTCCATTGGTTGCACCAAACAAATGAAGAACTGGAGATAAGGTGAGGTGGTAGGTGCTAAGAAGAAAAATAAAGCCAAGTGAGGGGGGATACAGAGTAATGTGGTGCTAGGAGCTGCTTGAGGTGGGTTGGTTAGGAAAACCCAGTCTACACGTGGACTTGCAGTAGACACCTGAAGGAGAGGCAAGAGGGCCTTGAGGATATCGGGGGGATCAACGTTCCAGGAAGAGGGAAGAGCTAGTGCAAAGTGCTGGGGGTCAGAGGATGTAGACAGTGTGACCTGGCAACAAACACCAGGGTGGCTGGAGCAGAGTGAGTAAGGACGTAGTAGAGGGAGGTAGCAGTGGGCAGAATAAGGAAGTTAGGTGACCACAGACACTAGGGGGTGTCATCAATTCCTTTTAGGTATTTCTTTATCTTCTTTCTATCATGAATAAATTAAACTTGTGGCCTTTTAAAGAGTGTGCACATTATAAATCTTTATATCACACACTTAGTGGTGACTGTACATGTGGCTTTGCACCCTGTAACAGTGAGCTGTAACATTGCTATTGATTTCCAGGGAGGTTAGCAGTGCTTTCGATGATGAAGTTAGCTCCTCTCTGACTTCAGCCCTCCTCTATGGCTGTTTTGACAGGGAAGGAAAAATACAGCTTACCCACCAACCCAAAGAGGACTGACTTTGTTCTTGCAGTTTGATATCATGTTTAATTAAAATATGTATGCTGAGATCAAAATGCTTAAAACAAAAAGAAAAACATTCATCATAAACTTTGCCAACAGGTTTATTCATCATAAACCTTGCCAACAGGTAAATTCTTGCCAACAGCTCTTACCAACTGCAGTGGTTTATTTCCTGGTGGCATTATTACCTAGTAATTGTGTCACTGTGTCAGTAGCCTTTGTTGCTTGTTTTTTGGAAAGAGGGAAAGACACGTTATAGGTTAGTATTGTGTTCATTTTAGTCTTAGGGATGGAAGCCACATGGAGGCAACTGGCAAACACTGCCACTTTGCTTGTCATGGGGCAGCAAAACTGCATAGATGTTTTCTTATGACTCCATTCAGATTTGGCAGATGTGGTAAGCCCTTTTCTCCAAGATATACCCAGGGGCCTGTGAACCAAATCCCAAATGCTGTTTGACAGGAGAGGACTGGTCTAACTGGAGCTGATGTTCATGTTGAGCTGTAGCAGTAACCATTTTAGACCCCTGGTTTCTAAAAAATAGTTTCACAGGTATAGGCATTTTAGAAAAAAAGTCAATGTGTTTGGGAAACTCTGAGTTAAATAAGATTTCTTTCCCGTAGGTTTCTCAGAACCTTTAGGAGAATAAAGGCGTTGATTGTAAACCTACCAAGAAAGACTAAAGGATGGCTAATTTCTCGAATATACTTGGCCACAGACACTTTTTTTCAAGATTTAGGCTTGACTGTAATATACTTGGAATAGGTGTCTATATAAATGCTGTGGGTGGTCAGGGAACTGTATCAGGGAGAGAAATCTGCAGCCCACACCAATCACCCACCATCCAGGCTACTCAGACCTGAGTCCTCAGAATTACTGTAATTTATACACTTTGTAACTTCCTGCCAGGAGAGAATACACTTAGCTTTTAGGTAAATCTCTGACTTGGTCTTTGAACCAAGTATTACAAAATAGAGGATTGATGGATCAGGATTTCTGCCCCAAATATTGAATATTTATAGCTTACAAATATATTTTATGCATCTCCAGGTATTGTCCGACCTATGGTACCTGGGTAATAGGAATGAAGTTCAGATCTTCAAGGGGGCAGCATTGAGGGGTTTTTTTGCACCCATTTTATCAGAGTCTGAGGACTGCTGAGAATGTTGGAAATTGCAGAATGCTCTGTTATTCTCCACAGGACACTGTAATTTGAGGTGAAGCCAATGCCACTTGCTGAGTCAGCAGACGGGCATGATGACTCTTGTTCCTGGTTATGCCCTCTGTAGAGGATTCCAAGACCTAGCCACTACTGGACCTTCTGTGTTGGAAGATACTGGTCTGAACCCGCTTTGGTAGGATTTTTCAGAATCAGATTTGCCCCAGCAAAACCCTGGGCAGAGAAGTAAGATTTCAGAGTTTCTTGGGACTTGGCCTATTGAGAGATCATGTAAGGGACACACTTTATTATTTTTTTTAAATACCTCACTCTATCTTAGAAAGATTTTATAATCTTACCTAATAACTCATAGTTTATTTCAGAATCTGTGGATGAGTAAGACATGATTTAAAGTAATTTGAATGAAGAAAGTAAGACCAATAGAAACTGAATGTAAAAAGAATAATAAAAAGTCAGAAGTAAGGTTGTTCATGTTCCAGTTAAGAGCTGATAATTCCTGGGAATACATATTTATTCCACTGGTTAAATACATTACTAATATGAAATCTAATGCATGATTTAGGTGAGGCTTTTAGCTGACAGTACTACATACAAATTTTAATTTTGCAAGTCAGGACAAATGCAGATTCTCTTATAAACAGTAAAGAATCAGCCAGAAAAGAAACTAAAACAGATTATGGAAAGTTCCCAGTCTGCAGAATTCATAAAATTGTGTACTTCATGTACTCAATTTGTATCATTTAAAAAGTTTTAAACATTGCCCAAAGATGAAGACACTATCTGAAGAATAATTGCAATGAAAAACATCCCTCAATGATCTTATTTGGTTGTTTCCTAGCTATAGAAAATTTTCATTTTATGTGAGGGGTATTTTAAAAACTATAATACATTTTCACATATTGCATGTATAGGATTCATTGAAGAGGATTAAAGAAATCTCTCAGATGTTATACATCATTGACATAGTATATTATACTCCCAATGGTAATGAATATTTGAATTTTGAATAAATGGTTAGTGATAGATCACAGTCTACATTCGTGTTATCTTTGAACAATTAACAAATTTCTAATTTCAAATCATTCTCTTTAGGTCTTGTTTATCAACAAACAAGGAGGATAATTGACAAATTACATAATTCCATTTTCTTGCTTTCATGATGTTCTTATCTCAATTTAGTTGAGCTCAGATTAATCCTTGATCCTTCTCTCTCTCCCCAATATATTCTGTTTCTTACCTTGTATATCACTTTTAAAATGCTAACACAAAATTGAACTAGTAAGAGATCTCATAAATAGTCACAACAGAAGGAGTCTCACCTCTCTCTAGAGCATGCCCAAGTGCTACAGCAAGCAGGAAAGCCAGGAACCTCTTCATGTCTCTACCAGGGAGTCCTGTGGCAGCTCCTGTCTGGTGTAGGTACCATGTAAGAGATGACAGTCTACGGTAGCCAGTGCCCTTTTACTAAGATTCCTGGCTATGAACTAATCAATTATTAATCTCTACACAGAAGCAAGGGGCAGTCATCCTTGGCCCAAAAGAGATCAAATAATATCATCAATCAAGGCAAATAGACACCCCGGAGATACTGTAGTGGAAATTCTAGGAGATTTTAATCATTAACTTTGTTGAACTGAAAAAGAGCCAAGCTATACAGATTATTTTCCAGTGCCGATCTTCACTAAAATTTATTGAGTGTATTTGTAATGGACACATTTTTCTTCTTTTTATATGGCTATGTGACATCTTGGGACATTACCTACCCTTCTCATGTATAAATGGAAAATTGGAGAATTGATCTTTCTCTTTCTTTCTCTCCCTCTCTCTCTCTCTGCCACTTTTTCTCTCTTTGTTTAAATCTGCTACAAATAAGCATTACCTTAAAATATTACAGACTAGATGTTCTAAGTAATAAAGGGAAAAAAAGACTGAGAAGTCAATTCAGCACAAGTCCTCAAATCCATAATTTCAATGCTATAAAACAATTTTATTTGAGATGATGGCATAGTCCTTTCTATTAGTGTGCCATATTATGCTTTTGGAATCACTGACATGTATATTAAAAATAACCCTTGCAGTGAGGCAATTAATAACTGGGGAGGTTAAATGACTTGCCACCAATCACAAAAAGTTAGTGGTGAACCTGGGACTCCCTACAGCTAGTCTAAAAGCTCCTTTTAGTGATAGCACACAACTAGTATAGTTTATGATGATGTAACTGGAGAGCTCACAGTGGCCTTGTAGGACACAGAATTCACATTTTCATTTTACAGAAGAGCGAACTGACCCCCAGGCAGATTCTGTGACTTGTCTCGAGAGGCATGGGTAGGGATCGTTCATTGAAGTGAGATCAGCTCCACCCCTGGTTTTTGCAGTAGCCCTCTTTTCAGGAAATGGTCAAGTATGGGTTGAGTACACTCTAGAATCAAACCCCTGCTTAACTGTGACTGCTGCTATGCAACCAGGAGGACTTACTTTGCCTCTCCAAGCCTCCTCTTCCTCATATGCAATGTGTGATAACTCTCAGCACCTTTGTCTCCAGACAGTTGTGAGGTTTGTTAAGATAATCTGTGTACAGGACTTACTGTAACATCTAACACACAGAATTCATGTTACCTGTTATTTTTATTCTAGTTATTGCCACTTTACCCCAGTGGCTCCCTAAATTGATAATATCTGAGAAAATCATTGGAACTAATGAGATCTGGAACTCAGAAGATATTAAAGCTCAACCCTGTGTCCTAGGTCTCATAAATAAGTCATTTAAAATTTAATTACCAACTCAGTAGCCAGGGATTAACTGCACGGGGCAGATTCTATCATAATCTCAATCAACTGCATGAAACTTTTGATCAGATTTTCTAGCTATCCTGAAAAAATTTGGGTGTTAGTTTCAGAAAAGAGAGTCTAGCCAGTTGGAAAAAGATTACTAAGGAAGATCGAAGTAGAAATTCATCTGGTAAAAGAGATCAGCAGATCCTGTAAACGCTAGCTTTCCTGTTTGAGGGTCAACTCTGTCCTGCCCAAGCATAAGCTTACTCTCTACTACAATCTTTCAAGTTTCCCCTTTTCCCTTTGGATCAACTCCTAGTTCATTTTGCAAGTTAATTACATGAATGCAAAAAGTTTAAAAAGTACTGAGAACCTCAGAACTCAGACAGAATAACAGTTTTACATGTTAGTATATTTCTATAGTTTACATTTTGATTTAAGACAATACTGTATTTATACTTTTGTATCCTTTAAACAATATTTTAGTCATCTTCTGATGATTTGTTCATTCAAAGATACACTTGCAGTATTTCCTATGAATTTTGCTACAGTATTTAAGACCAGTGCATTCTTTCATTTTTAAAAAAATTTATAACTTTATCTCTGCTTTTGCAATAACACTTACCACTTTTGTTTAATGATAAACCACATGTAGCAAGAATTGCAACATTTAGATGTCCTCTTAAGAAATCTCTACACAAGCTGCCAAAGACATTCTCTTAGCTGTATTTATCTTTTTTGAACTGAAAATTGAAACTAACATGCTAGTAGCTAAATATATGAGCCCTTTCCCTCTTATTTATGTAACCCTCCTCAATCTTTCAAGAGTTGATTGCTTACTGTTATTCTAAAACTGGGAAGAAATAATCATAATTGGCCTAAATGTGTAGCCTCATGTGACAACGATTACCTAGTATGTCAGATGGGGAAAAAATGGGTGAAAAAGACCAAATCAAACCTCCTGACAGTGCCTGTTATAGCAGTAGTTATAGCAAAAATAATTCTCATTAAATTATATATTTCTGTGATAAATTTCTGAGTTGCTATAACTGCTTCTGTAACAGACACTGTCAGAAGGTTTGATTTGGTCTCTGTGAGTAATAAAATGTGGTATATGTGTACCATGGAGCACTACTCAGCCATAACAAAATGATGATCTAGTTCCTTTTTTAACAACCTGGATGGAACTGGAGAACATTCTTCTTCATGAAGTATTGCAAGAATGGAAAAACAAACACCACGTGTACTCAATACTAAATCGGAACTAATTGATCAACACTTATGTGCACATATGGAAGTAAAACTCAAGGGAAATCAAGGTGGGAGAGAGGAGGAGGGGCTGGGTAGATGCACACCTAAGGGGTACAATGCACACCAACTGGGTGAGGGGCACACTTACAATTTTGACTCAAATTGTACAAAAGCAAATTATGCAACCAAAACATGTGTACCCCTATAAAATTCTTTAAAAACACACACAAAAAAAACCTGATTTGAAGTGCTGCTTTCCTCTTTCCCCACCTGATCATTGACGTCATAGGAAATGTAGATTTTATTTGTGTTTTTCAGTATTTTATTTTTCCCCAAGTTTTTGATCTGTGCATAGATCTGCAGATGCAGAACCTGCCGATATGGAGGCTGACTCTCCCTTCAGTTGGTGTTGTCTTTGGTGGTTCTTTGATTGAATTGAGATTCTGAGGACTCAAACCTTCATCTGGGAAAACCTAGATTATTGTGGGGAATAATTCAGTCTTTTATTCATTCACTAATAATTGAGTATCAATGCTGTTAGACCATTTTCCAGGCACTAGAGGTAAAATAGTAAATAAAACAAAGCTTTCATGCTTAAGAAATGTTTATTCTTCTCAGGAAGAATGAAGGGCAATGAGTACCCCATTTTTCACATTTTAATATGAATAACAGGTAGGGCAGGATGAAAAAGCCGGTGTCCAGTGTCCTACCGTCTTGGGAGATGGGGGTGAAGGGAGCCCTGAGCTCTTAGTTGTACCTGTCTTGCTGAGCTGGGAGTGTAGAGGGAATCTATGGATCTTGGCTCAAAGACCACAGATTCTCACTTTTTAAAATGAAGTTTAGTAGCTTTTCTTGAATAAGTGTTTCTTCATTTTCTGTATGTTCCTAGAAGTATTTCCAGGGACTTAAAATTACTATTTTTTAAAAAATAACTTTCACCAGTTTCACTGGAAAGCAAGTCCATGGAGCTCCTCACATTGCCATACCAAAAGGGGGACAACTAGGTTTTTTTTTGGGGGGGGGTGATAAAAATCTTCTAAAATATTATAGGTATGATGATTCCCAACTTTGTAAACATATCACAACACATTGAATTTTTTACCTCAATCAGGTGAACATTATAGTATTTAAATTATATCTCAATAATTCTACTTATTAATATGTTTTTTAAATGCATGAAGCTTACCAGAAAGTGGCTACTAAAGTATCAAGAATAAAAAGGAAATTACAAGTCAAGTGGTGCTAGAAGACAGTGGTGCTCCCATCCAGCTAGAATGGACAGAGCTATTAATATTTTTGAATTATTAATATTTTTTGTGAGTGGTGAGACATATAGGTGGCCCGTTTCATTCTTCTGCATGTGGCTATCCAATTTTCCCAGCACCATTTATTGAATACAGCTTCTTTTCCCCAGTGTATGTTGTTGTCTGCTTTGTCAAAATCAATTGGTTGTAGGTAGATGGTTTTACATCTGAGTTCTCTATTGTGTTCCATTGGTCTATGTCTCTATTTTGTACCAGTACCATGGTGTTTTGGTTACTGTAGGCTTTTTGTATAGTTTAGCAATGTACACAAATCAGTAGCATTTTTATATACTAATAACAGTCAAGCCGAGAGTCAAATCAAAGACTCAGTACCATTCACAATAGCTACAAAATATAGAAATAAATAAATAAAATACTTAGGAATATACTTAACCAAAGAGGTGGAAGATCTCTACAAGGAGAACTATGAAACACTGAGGAAGGAAATTGCAGATGACACATACAAATAGAAAAACATAGCACGCTTATGGATCAGTAGACTCAACATTATTAAAATGTTCATACTGCCTAAAGTGATTTACAGATTCAACATTATCCCCATCAAAATACCAATGTCATATTTCACAGATTTTTGGAAAAAGTAATTCTGTGCTTTGTTTGGAACCACTAAAGAGCCTATTAGACTATCTAATATTTTAATTTTGCAATATGATCCTGTAACAATTTGGTTGGAACTGGAGACCATTATCCTAAGTTCAGTATCTCAAGAATGGAAAAACAGACGCCACATGCACTTTCTAATAATTTGGAACTAATTGACAGGTGTGCATGTGCACAGAAAGAAGTAAAGATCATTGGAAATCAAGCAAGCAGGAGAGGAGAGAATGGGAATGGTAAAAACCTACCTAACAGGTACAATGAATACTATTCGGGTGATGGACACACCTGTAGCCCTACTAAAGCATTATAAAAGCCATCCATGTAACAAAAACATTTGTACCCCCTTAATATTTTGAAGTGAAAATGATAAAGAATTATAAATAAATATCACCTTCATGTATTCAAATTGCCAGTCCTTCCTCTTTAGAGTGCTATTCATTGGAGAATGTGTAAACAGCAATATTAGTTCTTAATGAAGATTAACACGGGCTATGAATATTAACATTTATTCTATTTTTGAGGACCACAT